TTAACTGCCACACCACCTCGAGGCACTTTTGACTGGCTCTAGGGCCTGGGCGGTGAAAGATGTTTGCATACATACTTGCTGCGGCATGAGTTAATGTTTTCAACCTGCTTTCGCTTGTCTGTTCTGGTCGACTCTGTCCAAACTTGGATCCTCCTCTCACTTTCTGAGAGATGTTCAGACTTTCTGACCATGAGATCTTCTTTCAAGACATGGTTTCTTCACCAGCTTCTGCAGAAGACGTTTTTCAGGGTGACCACTGGACAGAAAGAAGTGAAGGAGTGTCTGAGGCTGGGCTGGGAAAGACCCACAGAACATGGCCTTGCTGTTGTGTGCTCCAACTTGAACTTGTTATTAAATAGAAGAAAGATGGTGAGTTTAATAACAAAATTATTATTTTGTACCTAACTGGGCTGGAATAACAGTGAATTTAAAAAATGAAATGAATAAAAATACTTTGAAAGGAAATATTTTTTAGCTTGCTTGGATGTACCTTGTATCTTGTATTCTCTTCCTATTGCTAGCTACCTGACAAATGATCCCAGAACTTGTGGTTGTTGTTTTTTTTTTTTTTTTTTACAGTGTTAAGAGTTCGTTGTTGCCAGAGGGAGTGTGCACTCACCATAAAGAGAGACAAAAAGACAGAAAGCGAGAAACCACCCCCACAGGAGGGATGGCCATGCTGCAATCCCTTCTCTTCCATTCTCCTCTTGGGATCTTAGGCATGTTTGCATATTCGCCTGACATGAGTTTAAGCCACCGGGTCTGGGACTCGAACCACGGTTGACTACATGGGAGTCCAGTGACATAGCCATTATGCCAACTGCTGGTCCCCAGAATTTAGTGGTTTTAAACAACGATAATTTCTTCTCTCTCATGACTTCTGTGAGTTAGGGATTCAGACAGCCCAGCGAGGCCAGCTCTTCTTTGCTTGACAATGCCAGGGACCTCAGCTGGGGGCTGGAATAAAGATTCCATAAGGAGGGATTGCAGCATGCTCATAACCCATGGTGGTGCTTGCTTGCTCTCCCTCTTTCTGTCTCTCTCCAGTGAGCACATATGCCCCCTGGCAAATTAAAAAGAGAGAAAAGTCTGTAAAATTAAATGCTATGTACATAGTTAAAGGGAATTCAGGTACATAGCATTTATGGAATTTGGGGCACACATGTAGTGTGTTTTTCAAGTGGCTGAGTCTGGGACTCAGACCATGTAGTCAACCACGTGGGATCCAGTCACCCTAACCGTTATCCCACCAGCTAGTCCATTTATTAATTGACAATAATTGTATTTATGAGATACAGTGTGATCTTTCAGTATAAGAATGCAGTGTTTGATAATTAAATCAGGGTAATTAACATATCCATCATCTCAACCATTTGTCAGTACTTTGCGGAACATTTGAAATTATTATCTATTCAGATATAAGAGAAATTGTAGCTATAGTTACCCTACTGTACTTTGTTTTTTGTTTTTTTTTTTGGTTTTTTTGGAGAGGTTTTTGCTATAGGGCGCGTGCGCTGGCCAGACAGACAGAGAGAGACAGAAAGCGAGATATCACCCCATGGGGGGATGGCCATGCTGCAATCCCTTCTCCTCCATTCTCCTCTCAGGATCTTGGGCACGCATGCATGCACAAACGCCTGGCGTGAGTTTAAGCCACCAGGTCCGGGACTCGAACCGTGGTCCACTATGTGGGAGACCAACAACATAGCCATTACGCTAACTGCTGGTCCCACCCTACTGTACTTTGTAACACCAAAACTATTCCTTTTATCTGTCTATAATTTTGTTTCCTTTAACCAACATGGCTCCTAACCCCTTCCGCCTACTCTTCCCAGACTCTTGTAGTCAGTCTTCATTCACTCTCTACTTTTTATGTGACCATCATTTCTAGTTTCCATATATGAGTGAGAACAGGTGCTGGTCCTATGTCTGTGCCCAGTGTATTTCACCTACTGTCCTCCAGGCTTGTCCACGTTGCCTCAAATGACAAGAGCTCATCCTTTTTAATGACTGAGTAGTATCCTGTTCTCTATAGAACACACGCACACTCCATGTTTTCTTCATTTATCTGCTAATGGACTGGTAGGTTCCTTCCATACTTTGGTTCTTGTGGATGCTGCAGGAGACCCTGGGATGTCGGTATCCTGATGACACGCTGGTTTCCTTTCCTCTGAATATATGCCTAGTATGGGATTGTCGATCATATGGCGGTTCTACTTTTAGTGTTTTGAAGACCATCCATACTGTTTTCCATTATGGCTGTACTAATTTACATTCCCAAGAGCAGTGTAAGAGTGCCTCTTTCTCCTCATGCTTGCCAACATTTGTTCATTTTTGTCTCTTTGATGATGGCCCCTCTAAATGAGACGAGACGATGCCTCACTGTGGTTTCGATTTGCATTTCCTGATGATAGTGACGTTTGGCATTTTCCATGCGCTCCTTGGCCATTGATGTGTCTTCTTCCAAGAATTGTTTGTGCAGGTCATTTGTCCCCATCTCCTTTGGAGGAATCTCAGTGTCATATTATGAGAAGAGCATATGGGGTAGGATGCATTAGTGCAACCATGCTAGGAGAATATAGTCTGCCCCACGTTGTTTGTCTTTTTAATTTCTTCACTCATTTTTCTTCCAAATTTCAAAGTAACATGTGCTCATTGTAAGGAAAAAAATTCAGTAAAAATCCAGAATTTATAAACCAAGTAAGTTTCCTCTCCCACTTTACCCTCTCGATCCCACCCCCTAGTGATAAGTACTGTTAGCAAAGAGATGTGTATATTTCTTTTCTCTTTTAGTCTGCCTTAGACTACATACACTTGTCAGAGAGAGAGAGAGAGAGAGAGAGAGAGTGAGTGAGAGAGAGAGCGCAAGAGAGAGGGAAAGTGAGAAATCCCCCCCACAGGGGAGATGGTCACACCGCAATCCTTCCTCCTCCATTCTCCTCTCAGTATTTTGGGCATGCACATACAAGGGCCTAGCATGATTTTCAAGCTTTTGGATCTACGATTCAAACTGCAAAGCCAGCCATGTGGGATCCAGCACCTTAACCAGTACGCCATCTGCTGGCGCCAGATTTCCTTTTTAATGTCTTCTAGCTCAGGTTAATAGGGAATTGAATGAGATTCTTCAAAGTTCACACTGATACTGGAGGTTTATCAGAAGGTGGCAGCAAACAGGAAACCAGCTTGAGACAAAACAATAAAGAATGTCCTAAGTGTCATGACCGACCCAAAATGAATAAGAAAGATGACCTTACTGGTCATACCCATGAATATATGGATACGTAGTGGACCCCAATAGTAATACTGTGTCATCCTGTCTATTAGCCATCCCTCTGTTCACAAGTGGCTAACCTATCATTTTTTCTGGGATTCTTTGTTCTTATGGAGATGAGTTATTAAAAACATCTTTCCCAGGGGACCAGCAGTTGGCATAATGGCTATGTCACTGGACTCCCATGTAGTCGACCACAGTTCAAGTCCCGGACCTGGTGGCTTGAAACTCATGTTAGGTGCGTGTGCGTGCGTGCCCAAGATCCCGAGGGAGGAGAAGGGATTGTGGCGTGACCATCCCCCCTGGGGGGTGATTTCTTGCTTTCTGTCTCTCTGTCTCTCTCTGTCTGTCTGGCGAACGCATGTACCCTATAGCAAAAACCTCTTCCCCACAAAAAAAAAAAAGGTATGATTTTGCTTGTATGCAGTATCACAGTAGGCAGATTCAGAGGTCACCACAGGCTGGGGTTGGGGGAAATGGAGTTACTGCTAGATAGGACAGCCTTTGTTTGGGGGGTAACGGAACCTTTTAGACTAGGTAGTGGTGACGGCCACACAGCATTATCAATGTGATTCATGGCACTGAATTGTTCACATGAAAATGGTCAAAACCTTAGAAACTTCGAAAGGACATTTAGATTGTTCTCTCTCCTTTAACCACTGCACATTAATGATATAATGATATTTCTGGTACTCGGCAGAGAGAGACAGACAGGAGGCCAGTGAGAAAGCATCCCCTGGGCGGGTGACCATGCTGCAATCCCTCTCTCCTTTTAGAAATTTGGCACGGACAAGCCTCCGGCCCAGCATGTCTCTCAAGCTGCTGAGTCCAGGACTCGAACTGCTTAGTCTGCCATGCGGGATCCAGCTGTCCTAACCCCCACACCACCAGCTAGTCCTAAAACGGCAAATTGTATATTACATATCTACACACACACCTCCTTTGCGGGGGCAGAAGACAGAGGTTAGGGCTCTCTCAATGTTCCCAGGGCTTTGCCTTCCCCTTTGTTTTTACAAGAACAACTTCTATTTATAGAGATTCACACAGAGGCTTGTGGGTGTGGGAAGTACTCCCAGCTGCCCTCCTGTTTCTCAGAAGCCCACATGGAAGCCTAGCACGTTATTTAAGGCTTAGGAACTATGCCAGATTGGAAACGGAGATAATGTAATCTCTCTGTATGTTAATTTCGTTTTTTCTGCAACCTGAGTTTCTGGGAACCTTACTTCACCCCTCGGAAAGGCGGTGCTGCGGCTGGCTGCAGGTACATCAGCCTGCCAGGGAGCGTTTTCTTACGAAAGTTCCACTTGCTAAGAGTTTGGGAGACGTGCGGCCAGGCAGCCGGGCGGTTAGGGCCCCAGGTGCGCGCGGTTTCTCCTTCCACGTGCTTTCCCGAACCCCGCCTTTCTCAGGTGTGCGGGGTTGGACAGCAGCTGCTCCTGGAGCGGCAGTGAGTAAGCTGCGTCTGCACCCCCACCCAGAGAGCTGGCACCCAGAAGTTGGCACTGTGGGCCCGTGGCCCCTGCGCTTCCCCTTCCCAGCTCCCCGCCCACCAGGTGGAGGCTCCCCTCTCCTCTCCCCGGCCTGGGAGTGAGGTCTGGGGGCGCCCAGCCTCGGGCGGTGATAGAAGTGCTCCTGATCCTTGGGAGGCCGCCTCTTTCTCCACCTGGACCGGAGACTCGTGGGTGCTGGCGTGGCTGGGGTGCTAGCTGGACAGCTGGGGCCCGCGCAGACGAGACCCGGCCATCCACGTGGCCGCGGGGCGGGGACAGGGCGGGCCCAGCGTTGGGAGCTCGCGGTCGCGGAGCAGGTGAGGCCGCCCGGCTGCTGGTGGGGGTCGGAGAGGGTGGGCTCTGGGACAGCTCCTCTCCGCAGAAGGAGCTCTGGGCCGTAGTCCGGGGCCAGACTTGGGGTCACCTTTGTCCCTCGGCTCAGGTGGAGCCTCCGCTGTCTCCGGCGCGCACATGCGCGGACACCCCGCTGCACGCAGGCCCTCGGACAGGAAGGGGCCCGGCTGGACACGCAGGCCACCGGCTCAGGAGCGGTGTCGCGGTGGGAAGTGCCCCCGCGGCTCGCACCCACAGCCGCACGCGAGTCCCGGGGCTCCGCGCTGCCGCCTCCCGCACCCCTGCCCCCCGCCTCCTCCCCGTGCGCTGGCCCGCCCTCGCCCGCGGGGGCTCCTAGCGTGGTCCTGTTCTTCCCACGTGACGGCGAGCTCTGCCCCCTCAGCCCTCCTCCCCTCCTTTTCTCCCTTCTTCAAATGTCTTAGGTTCCCGCTCTGTGCTGGGGAGACGCACACAGATGGGGGCCGAGGTCCCCACCCTACCAAAGCCCATTCCCAGGGGTGATTCTGCTGGTGGGAAAAGGGCCCTGCCCTGATAATGACGCTGGGACATCTTTTCTCACCCGCCTCTCGGTCCCTTCCCTTCCGGCCCTGCCTCTCAAGACAGCCTCCTCATCTCCCCTCTCTCCTCTGCTCAAGCCCAACCTTGGCCCACTCCCTGCAGCCGGTTCTAATGAGGACGCCCCCCAGTCTGGCCGTGTACGAGGGGATTCAGGGGCACACAGGACAGGGTAGGGCCACGCAGCTGGCTGTGACTCCCACATGTTGAAGGACTGGGGAGAAGACAGAACTGGGGAACTGCGGGTGAAGGCAAGGTCTGAGCACAGGTCTGCCCTGAAGACGATCAGGATCGGCCTGGGTATTAAAGCAGCGCCCAGAGAGGCTGTGGTGAGTTTCCAGACGAGGGAGAACAAGGTCCCCTTCTCAGCCAGGGCCTAGCCTGGTGCAGGGAAGGCTGAGATAGAAGGACGAAGGGCAGGAGGAGCCAGCCTGACCAGGGTGTTTACCTTCCACAGAGGTCTCCACCCGCCTGGACCTCGCTTCCAGAGAATGGCCGGGATGTCCCAGGTGCAGGAACTCTTCCACGAGGCAGCCCAGCAGGTAGGCCTGGAGGTCTGGGGGTCTGCGAGGAGGCTGCCGGAGACCTGTAGCAAGACACAGAGCTGGGGCCAAGTGTGACGCAGTGGTAATGCAACTGACCCACCTGAGAAAGGTGCTGGGTTTGCGTCCCGGCATCTCCCTGAACGTGCCAGGTGTGTGCGTTTGCTCAGGGTCCACGCTGGCTGAGATGGGGGTAGACCTTGTGGGGACTGCCTGTCTCTCTCTGTCTTTCTTTCATGGAAGAAGTAAATAGATCAACCTTAAAAAAATAAAAAAAGGAAAGAAAGAAAAGAACTGAACAGAAATGTTATAGTGCACTATTTGCTTTTTCTTAAAAATTTTAAAGGGCATGTGTGCTAGCCAGAGAGCAATGGGCATCACACCGAAATCCCTCCTTTTGGAATTGTGGGCACTGTGCCCAGCACGTTTTTCAAGTTGCAGAGTCCAGGATTCAAACTGCAGTGGGGTGGGCCATGTGGGATCCAGTCACCTTAACCACTAGGCACAGCTGCCCCGGTGGTGCACTATTTTAAAAGTAATGATTCAGAAGTTTAATTTGGTATTCTAGTTTGTTGAAAAAATATAATAGCCAGCTCTTGATCACCTAAGTACAGAAAATCTTCTTCAGCATTATTTGTGGTGGATTTGGTCTTAATCCTCTTCAAAGCTCGCTCCTCTGTCGCAGTCCTCCATCCCATTGAAGCCTTCACGAACAGAGTGAGGACTCAGATAACAAGAACTTTTATTGTGAATCAACCAATGGAAGAAGTAACTTATCTGTATGGAAGCCAAATGGATTTCTGGATTTTCTAGTATTTGCTTTTATTATTATGATTTCTTTTTTTTGGGGGGGGGAGAGGTTTTTGCTATAGGGCGTGTGCGCTCACCAGACAGACAGAGAGAGACATAGAGACAGAAAGTGAGAAATCACCCCCCAGAGGGGATGGTCACACCACAATCCTTTCTCCTCCATTCTCCTCTCGGGATCTTGGGCACGCACGCACATGCGCCCGGCATGAGTTTTAAGCCACCGGGTCCGGGATGCGAACCGCGGTTGACTATGTGGGAGTCCAGCGACATAGCCATTGCGCTAACTGCTGGTTCCCATTGTGTTTTCTTTTTCTTTTTTCTTTATCCTCTGTTCCTCTGCCTATTGATCATCCATTATAGTAAATATTGAATATAGAATTAAAGTGGCTCTTCCAAGACACAGAGGATCCCTTAAAAAACAAATAAAGACCGTACCTAGGCAGTTATCAGAAAATGTGTTGGACCCAGGGCCTTTGCCATCTGTGATCACTCACGTGAAGTTTTCACTGCCCCTTGGATTTCTCTTATGCTTTGTGGAGAGGGGCAGAAAGATCAGCCAGCATTTTAACAGGAAGGATGAGCCCCTGTGAGAAGGTAGAGAATAAACACAAAGCCCCACACTATAGCAAGAGGGCAGGATCTAGGCCTGAGGCCAAGGGGCAGGGTGCGGTCAGGAGGATCGGGCTCAGGCTGGGTGTAGGCCTCCAATTCAGCCAGGTCCTCCTCTGCCTGCCACAAGTCCCTGTGGAAAATGCAGCCTGACGACTGGCAGCTGGTCTGCGCTCAGTGAAAGGTGCTGCGCTTTCCCTTGGCAGGCCCAGGCTGTCTTCCTGAGCCCTCCTACCCAGCCCAAGAAGTATGCAGGCTGCTTAGACAGGCTACCTAGAAACCAAGGCTTGCTCCTCAAAGATCTTTCAGAACTCTTGCTGCACTGTTTAGTCCTGGGTGAGAGGCCTGGGGTCTTCAGAGAGTTTGACTCACCAGGGGTCGCCTGTTCCGTCTGGCCAGGCTTGTGCATACTCCCGCGTGTTTCCTTGGGTCTGTAGGATTGTACATGACTAATTATGCTGTGGCAGATATTTGTGGACTATTTCCTAAATAGTAGGCACGGGAAAACATAGAAAAGAAACCCAGATGGAAAAATGTGATGCCCCAGGGAGGTCCAAAAGGAGAGAGAAATCAGATATTCCTCTTTGAGGAGACAGAGACAGAGAGAGACAGAGAGACAGAAAGCAAGAAATCACCACACCACAATCCCCTCTCCTCCATTCTCCTCTTGGGATCTTGAGCACACATGCACACACGCCCAGTGCAAGTTTAAGCCACCGGGTCCGGGACTCAAACTGTGGTCAACTAGATGGGAGTCCAGCAACAGCCATTATGCTAACTGCTGGTCTCCTTTTTTTAGTTTTTCTATAGGGCATGGACACTCACTGGAGAGACAGAGAGAGAGAGAGGGAAAGTGAGAACTCCCCCCCTCCCCCCCCTTGGGGGTGTTGTCCACAATCCCTTCTCCTCCATTCTCCTGGGATTATGGTAACATGCACATGTACCTGGTATGATTTTCCAGCCACTGGGTCCAGGACTCTAACTACACAGCCAGCAATTTGAATTCCAGCTGCCTTAACCGCCATACCACCTGCTGGCCTTGAAACCCATTCCCTTTTCTTTCTCTCCCTTGCACTAGGGATCATTTTGATTGTATTATTCATTCCTTCCTAACTTCCATCTCTAAGTCGAATTTCTCCACATTGCTACTGAAGTGGTCCCTTTTAAAGCATGGTCTGTGCCCTGACTCCTCTGCTTAAAGCCCTTCTATGGCTTCTCTTGCTTTCAGAAGTCAGTTCAAACTGCCTCCCTTGGCTCCCAGGCCTCAGTGATCTGACCAACCTCTCCTGTTCCCACAGCCTCCTTGTAGCACTGCAGTTACCATGGTGGCACTGAAGCGAGCTAGTTTTCCCTTCTCCCTTAAGGCTGTAAATTCCTCAAGTTCAGGAGCACATCGGATACATTTTAGTAACCCCAGTAGCTAACCCCTTTCTAGGTCTAGGTGGATCTGGAGTGATTTGGGACGTCATGTTGTGTTTGGAGCCCTGCTGACCTGGCAGGGACCAGTCTTGTTCCAGGACC